GGGAGTATGCTTCTCCCTCTGACCCTCCCCCCTCTCACGCTCTATCTCATTCTCTCTCTCAAATAAATAAATAAAATCTTTATAAATAAATAAATAAATAAATAAATAAATAAAATCTTTAAAAAGAAAAATCCACCCAAGCCATTTACTTGCTGATGGCTGGGGAAGTAGGGACTGAAATGATGATCATTAGAAGAGGATCCTCCAGTGTAATCCAAGTAAGTGTGGCCACTTAGAATGTTTAATCTAGCCTACTTGAAAAAAAATCAGCTGCATTCATACAAGTTGGACACTTAAAACTAAGTGAAACTGGAGATTTAAGAGATGAAGCATTCAGGAGGATTTGGGATCGAAGTGAGAGTCTGTGTGAATCAAAGGAATTGTCACTTGGCATTACAGAAAAGGTTAAACAGGAGAAAGTGAAATTCAACTTAGTTGGTTTTACTTACTGATTTTGCTTTAGAAAAGTACTAGATTGGTAAGAAAATTAAGTCTCAGTGAAAATATTTTGAAATCATACATGATTGTTACATATCCGTGCTCTTTTTTCAACTCCCTGCATGGCAAACTGAGGCTATTACAGCTAAAATAGCATTATGATTATTAGATGCAAATATTTCCATAGCACAGAAAAGGTCCAGTTAATTCTACTCTTTGTACAGAAACTTCTTTTCTTCCAACTTTGTATATATTTCCACTAGATTTTAAGCCGCTTTCAGGTGAGGTTTGTGTCTTAGAGGTCTTTTTATCAAGCACAGTGCTTAAAAAAATGCTCCCTGATTGATTCATTAAATTTTAAAATATGGAGTTCAGGAAGTATGACAATATTGTGGGAGATATCAGAAAACTATTATTTCCCCCTTTTTAGAAAGGAAAGAACTTTTTGACTTAGAACATAAGAAGGTTGCTTCTAAATAACAAATCAAGACACTATTCAGGCTTCATACTGGGGTGAAAACAGCCAATACCATTTTCTTTTGTATTCATGTATTGTTTGATTTTTTTTTTTTTTTTTTTTTTTTTAGATTTTATTTATTTGAGAGAGAGAGTGAGTGAGAGAGAGCACGCACATGAGATAGGGGAGGGTCAGAGGGAGAAGCAGACTCCCTGCTCAGCAGGGAGCCCGATGCGGGACTCGATCCCAGGACTCCAGGATCATGACCTGAGCCAAAGACAGTCGCTTAACCAACTGAGCCACCCAGGCGTCCCTTGATTTTTTTTTTTTTAAATTTAAGATGCTGAGAGGGTGGAAAGCAACAGACAGGAATGATGTATTACTGACAAAAGAATGCTGATTTCTGCTTCCAACAACAGTGACTAAACAGGAAGATGATCTTGCTGGACTCATCCTGCCAGACACTCCAGGGACTTTGGAAGGAGTGCAACATTTACAACCGATAGTGAGAGGAGCATGTGATCCTGGAGAAACGGCAATAGCTCCGGGAGCATGTATATTGATTTAAATAAGCAGAAAGAATATCTTTTTGGACACTGAGATGAGTTACAGCGAAACGATGAGTTCTATTCCTTTTTTTTTTTTAAGATTTTATTTATTTATTTGACAGAGAGAGACACAGCGAGAGAGGGAACACAAGCAGGGGGAGTGGGAGAAGGAGCAGGCCTCCCGCCGAGCAGGGAGCCCAATGTGGGGCTCAATCCCGGGACCCCGGGATCATGACCTGAGACGAAGGCAGACGCTTAACGACTGAGCCACTCAGGTGCCCCGATGAGTTCTATTCCTGATTACAATGTACTTCATGAAATTATTCTGGTGTATGAAGTAAGTAATGTGAAGGAATCCTCTTCAGAGAACTAAAACTTGGAAATGGAGTCACTTTCATTCATTTAGTGCAAATTCATCCAACCATTCAACCATTAATTATTGAATGATTACTTTGGCAAAACACCCTTCTAGTTAAAATAACATGTGGTCCTGTCCTCTTAGGAATCTAATTTGGAAAACAGGACATGACGTAGGCAGAATAATGCCCTCCCTCCCCAACGATGTGCACACCCTAATCCCCAGAGGCTGCGAGGATGTTATATTACATGGCAAAGGAATTAAGGTTGAAGGGCACTTATCAGCTTACTTTACAACGGGAGAGTGGCCTGGGTTTTCCAGGTGAGCCCCATATAGTCACAACACAGTAGCACCCGTTATCCATGGAGGATGCACTCTGACCACTGGTGGATGCCTGAAACCACGATAGGACTGAAAACCCTGTACAGATGGTTCCCAGCTTCCAATTTTACGATTTTTCGACTTTACGATGGTACGAAAGCAATATTCATTTGGTAGAAACGGTACTTGGAATTTTGAATTTGGATCTTTTCCCGGGGTAGCAAAATGCAGTATGATCCTCTCTCCTGATGCTGGGCAGCGGCAGCGAGCCGCAGCTCTGTCAACCATGCGATCACAAGGGTCAACAACCCATACACTGACAACCGTTCTGTCCCCAGAGAACCATCTGTTTGTCACTTTCGGCACAATATTCAGTAAATTACACGAGATAGGCAATACTATTATAAAATAGGCTTTGTGTCAGAAGACTTTGCCCAACTACAGGCTAATGTATGTGTTCTGAGCATATTTAAGGTAGACCAAACTAGGCTATGATGTCTGGTAGGTTCAGTGTACTAAATGCATTTCAAGGGGCACCTGGGCGGCTCAGTAGGTTAAGCGTCCAACTTGTGATTTTGGGCCAGGTCATGCTCTCATGGGTCATGGGACTGAGCCCCACATCGGGCTCCGTGCTGAGTGGGGAGTCTGCTTGAGTTTCTCTCCCTCTGCCCTTCAACCCACTCATAAGCACTCTCTCAAATAAGTAAATCTTTTATTTTTTTTAAGATTTTATTTATTTATTTGACAGAGAGAGAGACAGCGAGAGAGGGAACACAAGCAGGGGGAGTGGGAGAGGGAGAAGCAGGCTTCCCGCTGAGCCGGGAGCCCGATGTGGGACTCGATCCCAGGACCCTGGGATCATGACCTGAGCCGAAGGCAGACGCTTAACGACTGAGCCACCCAGGCACCCGGTAAATATATCTTTTAAAAAATGAGTTTCAGCTTTTGATATCTTCAACATACGATGGGTTTATCAGGACATAATGCCATCACAAGCTAAGGAAGATCTGTATATACTATGTTTTTTTCCTATACATATATACCTATAGTAGTTTAGCTTATAAATTAGGCACACTAAAAGATTAACAACTAATAATACAATAAAATTACAACAATATACTGTAATAAAAGTTACGTGAATGTGGTCTCTTAAAATATCTTCTCGTATAGTACTCAATCTTCTTGTGACGTAAGATGATCAAAATGCCTATGTGATAAGATGAAGTGAGATGAATGACGTGGGCATTGCGAGACACAGCCTTAGGCTACTACTGACCTGCTGATGATGTGTTAGGAGGAGGAGCATCTGCTTCCAGACTGCTGTTGACCACAGGTAACTGAAACCGTAGAAAGTGAAACCACTGGTAAGGAGGGACTACTGTAGTTGTAGTCCCTACTTGTGGAACGGGGAGGCAGAGAAGAACTAAAGAAATGGTAGGGTGACACAGACTTAGCCTGCTGTTGCTAGCTTTGAGGATGGAGGGAGGCAGACTCAGCCAAGGAATATGGGTTGCCCATTAGAAGCCAGAAAGGACAAGGAGATAAATTCTCTCCTCGAGCGTCCAGAATGGAATAAAGCCCTACCAACACTTTGATTTTTAGCCTTGTGAGAACCATTTCTGATTTCTGACCTCCAGAATTGTAAGATGATAAATTTGCAGGGCGTCTGGGTGGCTCAGCCGTTAAGCGTCTGCCTTCGGCTCAGGTCATGATCCCAGGGTCCTGGGATCGAGCCCCACATCGGGCTCCCTGCTCGGCGGGAAGCCTGCTTCTCCCTCTCCCACTCCCCCTGCTTGTGTTCCCTCTCTCGCTGTGTCTCTCTCTGTCAAATAAATAAATAAAATCTTAAAAAAAAAAAAAAGATGATAATTTGCATTCTCAAAACCACTAGGTTCATGGTAATTTGTCACAGCAGCAATGGAAGACTAGTACAAGAGTAATTATAAATAGAAAAATAACTATCTGCAGTAGTAATTGCCTAGTGCCAAATGGTATGGACCACACATTTCACAGGATATCAGGACTCTGAGGGAAAGGCTGGTTCTCCCAAAGGGCCTAGAGTCTTACTGACTAGGTGTTATAGTCCCCAAACAGGACAACATGGGAAGTCCTACTGTGTTTTTAAAAAATATTTTATTTATTTGAGACAGAGCATAAACGGGGGAAAGGGACAGAGGGAGAGAGAGAAGCAGGCTCCCCGCTAAGCAGGGAGCCGGACACGGGACTAGATCCCAGGACCCTGGGATCATGACCTGAGCCAAAGGCAGACGGTTCACTGACTGAGCCACCCAGGCATCCCAGTCATACTGTGTTTGATCTGTAGTACAGGGAAGTGGTCCTCAAACCACCAAGATCATTAGAGCATTCTTTGGGAGCATCTTAAAAATCCTGAATTCCAGCCCCACCCCCAAAATTCTGATCCAAGTACGTCTGAGGTGGGAGCCAGGATTTCACATTTTTTAAAAGCTTCCCCCATCTCCTAGGCGAATCTTAAGACCAGCCAAATTTGGGAAACACCTCGTAGGAGATCTCCCATAGCACATCTAACAAACTTGGAACAACCTGGGGGCAAATCAGTGTAGTCTATTTGTCTTTAAAAAGAAGGGTTGGACTACATGATCCCGAGGGACTTATTTCCTCTTTGCAGTCTGGAGCTTAAAGCTGGTTCTGCCTCCTACCATTCCCTACCCTCAAACCTCCCTTACAATGTATCTGCTGACTTCTGTTAAGAGTCACCAGCTTTGAGGGGCGCCTGGGTGGCTCAGTCGGTTAACTGTCTGCCTTTGGTTCAGGTCATGATCCCGGAGTCCCGGGATCTAGCCTCACATTGGGCTCCCTGCTCAGCTGGGAGCCTGCTTCTCCCTCTCCCTCTGCTCCTCCCACCAACAGTTCTCTCTCTCTCTCACTATTTCGCTCACTCTCTAATAAATAAAATCTTTAAAAAAGAAAAAAAAGAGTCACCAGCTTTGGGATGCCTGGGTGGCTCAGTCAGTTAAGTGTCTGCCTTTGGTTCAGGTCATGATCCCAGGGTCCTGAGATCGAGCCCCACATCAGGCTCCCTGCTCAGCAGGGAGCCTGCTCCTCCCTCTGCCCGACTCTCATGCTCGCTCTCTCTCTCTGACAAATAAATAAATAAAATCTTTAAAAAAAAAAAAAGGAGTCACCAGTTTCCCTCCAGTTCCTTGCTTGAGGCTTACCAATTTTGGCCTAGACTCCCCCTACCTTCTTAAGGAAAACACCGGTCAGATCCAACACAAATGAGCTTGTCCATGCATCTCTGCTCCTTCTGTTCCACTCGTCTTCAATCAACATATTTAGCATTCAGTTCCATCTTACTTGCTGGACAGGAAATGTTCCTTGGAAAGGAAATGGTTGCAGTCCTGCATTCCATTGTCTTTCTTGAAAGAAAGTTTACCTGGATAAATCCTTGTGAAAACATGCTACTGACAGACTTCCTGGCAAATTAATGGCTGGTTAGAGATTTCTTATTTATAGAATTCTTTTAGCAAGGTATACCTGATCTGTCTAGGATGCTTTATGGCAAACAGGCCTGGACTCTATGGACTTACAGGGCATGGAAATGTCATCTAAGCCATGTAACTAAGTATACATGTTCTGTGTCCAAGACAGCTTCCTGCTGTATAATCAATTAGCAGCATACAGTGTCTCACACAGTGCATCCTACACAAGAGGACATGCAGTGACTGGTGGCTCCAGCCCTCTCCAAGCCTCACAATTTGTATCTTAGAAATTAATGAGATCTACCAAAAAAAGAAAGAAAGAAAAACAAAAGAAAAGGAAAAGAAATTATTGAAATCTCTGATTTATGTCCAACTTAATAATTCTATCCTTTCTGTTATCTCACCAACCCCAGTACGGGTATTGAAAGAAATTAGATAAATAAAAAATAAGGAAGATAAGGCAAGAAAGAACACTGACACACATTCTGCTTATTAGTGGTGGTAATGGTGGAGGCGGGAGGGGCGAGGAGGGGGTAGATAATGAAGAAACCGAGGCAGCTGGAGGCAGTTAAAGCTATAGAACAGGGTAATAAGAAACAGTAGAGATCATATTTAAAATGAAAGTGTTTGGGCATAAGAGAAATTTTTAAAAGAGGTGTCCAAAAACCAGCTACCTGATCCTTAACCCAGCCACCCACACAGACTATGGCGGGGGGGTGGGGGGGGCGGGGGGCAGAAACTCTACCGGGAACCCTGGCCCCTCCAGGGGGAATGGTGGGGGGACCACAAGCCTCATGAGAGGGGTTTCAAGGACTGTTGAAGACAATGTGCTGTTGACATGCTATGAGTCCAGCCCCACCCCAAGAGGTGCTGTGCCAGGAAAGTCTCTGTCATCCAGCTGAAAACCCACTCTTCCATCCTCTGCTCTGTGATACTGGATCTCTGGGTCTGTTTCTGCTTTGCCAGCCTCCTCCTGATAGGCTCTTTCCATAGGGGCACTAGAGAGCGCCCAGAAGCCTGGAGGCAGAAGATGAGGACGGGTTTGCTCTCCTAAGGGTCGGCCATGGGCATGCGGTTCCCTAGGGGCGCCTCAGGAACCCCTCCTCACTGCAGCAGCAGTTTGATCCTGTGGCTGAACACTGGCCCTCCCCAGAAGTATGGGTGGCAGAGACACCAGCTTTGTGAGGCTCCCTCTCTTAGCTTCTGAATTCTAATAACGGCAACCTCTTCCCTCTGATCCCTCAGCCATAGAGATGGTGGTAGCTTTTAGCCGATGGCTACCTCTGCTACCTCCCAGGGTCCACCTCTTATCTCTTCAGTCATTAACACCTGTTTATCTAGCTAACAACTTCTGTGAAATGTTTCACAGTGATACTCTGTTCATATTGTCCGTGTGCTTTCTTTCTCCTGCCTGGACCAGGCAAATCAGGAGTGAAATGTGGAGGGATGCCTGGGGGAAAAGATCATCCAAAGGAGTCCTCGGGGGAATTAAGATGAGTGCCCTCCAGTTTGAGTGTTTGACTCACACTTGAAAACTCTGAAGCGTGAAAGGTGAGCTGGCTAGCTTCTCTGAAAGTGCTGCGTGCTGGAGGGGGTCACTGGGATGGATCTGAACTCTTAGTGTCTGTCAGGAAGGAAAATGCAGAAGTGCTTCCCAGGGACTAGATGTCAGCGACTGTATGAGGGTGAGCAGCCATGGCGTGGCTTTAATCCTGTGTAAGAGGACCACTGGGAGGGGCAAACAGACTTAGCAGGGAGAAGCTGGAGGTATTTCCAGATTTGTCAGGGCTAAGAAATGAATAACAAGGACATATGAAATTGTTCAAGATACAAAAAAAAAAAGAGAGAGAGAGAGAGAGAAAGGAAAAAAGAAAAAGAAAAAAAAAATCAACTTTATATCTCTGCCTAGAGAGGACACCAAGGTAGACCTGTCTGGCAGTACCAGTCAAGTAAGAAGTTTCCTGAAATACTGAAAGTTGTTCTGTAGATGTTACATACAAATATATCATTGTGTCTTTCAGCACAGGCTGAGCTCTCCCTCCTAGCTGACAGTTCTTGGCATTTAGAATAGCAGATAAAGACCAGTCAACTTCATAAGATGTACAGACTTGCATATTTGGTGACCTTAAATGTAGCGAACAGATTCCTGATCCAGAGATGAGTTTTAGTTGCAATATGGAACAACTATAGGACTTACTGGGGAAACACACAGATGTGCTGAAAAGCCTGGAAAGAGCAAGGTAATTGTAACTTGGGGACATTAACAACTCTAAACCACCACCCCCCACCCAGGTCTACAGGAAGACTAGAAGCGCCTTGCTATAGGCTGAACCATCATTGGTGCGAGGTGGACAGTCTTCTTGTCAGTACACAAAATTCTTCCTTTTGTATTTATTCTACTCACCAATTTTGACTTCTTAAAATACTTGTGAAAGGAATAAATAAAAATTAAAAAAAAAAAAAAAAAAGAAAGAAAAGGGGCGCCTGGGTGGCTCAGTCGTTAAGCGTCTGCCTTCGGCTCAGGTCATGATCCCGGGGTCCTGGGATTGAGCCCCACATCGGGCTCCCTGCTCTGCGGGAAGCCTGCTTCTCCCTCTCCCTCTCCCTCTGCTTGTGTTCCTTCTCTCTCTGTCTCTCTGTCAAATAAATAAAAATTAAAAAAATAAAAAATAAAAAAAAATAAATAAAATAAAATACTTGTGAAAGGGTTAAAAGGGAAATTCTGCCTAAGTATCTGAATCATCTTTAGTATTAACTGTATATTTATCCCATTTGGTTCTTTCTCAAGTCTTACAAAGTAGACAGTACTACACTCTGAATAAATAAGTTGCTTGCACACACACAACGTTTTCTTGCCTACCCCTGTTCTGTCTCCTTTTCCACTCTGGAGGAATCAGAAACCATGGCTCACAATCTGAGAGGGGAAGAGAAACTTCAGAGGAGAAGACAGGAGAAGCCAGTCAAGCACAGCCTGTGGCCGCAGGAGGTTTAAGCTCAGGCACAAGTCTGATGGCACCAGACATTTGAATTACCGGATTCAGATTGTATTGTGCAACCTGAAATGACCATAGGGATTTGTATTATCAAAGAGTCTCTAGATAACAGTAAAACACAACTCTACAGAGTGGATTTAGAGGGATAAAGGAAGCAAAACTAAAGTTGCTTTAAGATTCCACCCCCTAAGTCCTTCTTGTTCCACATACTGGTTATAAGTAGGTAATCAAAGGACAGTAAGGTGAGAAGTTAAATAAGGTTTTGATTATCAGGCTAAAGAGTTTGGACTTCATCCCTTCAGGCAATAGGGAATAAATTAAATTTAACTCAAATATGTATTGAACATTGTGCTAGACAGTGCAGATATGAAAATGAATAGAATAGGAAGTACCTCCAAAGAGGGAGCAGATATATACACACACATGAATTTAATATGCTTCACTACTCTGTGATGAATGCTATGATCAAGATGTGCATCTGGTGCTGAGCGGATGACATGCACAAGGCAGAGCTTTAGCAAGAGTAAATTGCAGGATTAGACTACAGAATAAAGGCAAAATACATCTGAAAAAAAAGGGCACATCCATCTTTGTATTATAGGAGATTTAAATCCTCAAGTATCTATGTGGACATCAAAATTTTTAACCATGCTTAAAGCCATAAAAATGCCTAGAAAATTGTGCCAGAAAACTGGTAACTGGCCATGGTCTTTAACAATTCCTTGATATGGATCAGTGCATCTCAGTTTCAGACTGCTTCTCAGGTCCTCTTTGGTAGCAATGTGTGGCCTTGCCAATGACAGACTGAAGGCAATGACAGCCAGAAGAAGGAAGTGGCTGGTAACTGGTCAACCCCTGGGAAAAAAGAACTTGACTTACTTTTCAGCCTTTAAAATCCAAATGGTCCCTGGCAACACACACGCGCGCACGCGTGCGCACGCAAACATGCACACACCAGCTGGAAAGGAAAACTGGAGGAAGGAAAAGAAAGGGGAATGACAGGAAATCCTAAATGCTCCACAAGGGAGCATCTCCATATTGACATATTATTCCCCAACAGTATAATAATCAGTGCTGTAATATGTGTAATATGCTGGGCCCATTCTGGGATGCACACCCCATCTGCTGAAAAGGCTAACACACCTGCTATTTTCTGTGCATGTTGTTCCTTTTCAACACTGATGGATTAGGGTTTCTTGAATTTGTTGAATGATGCCCCATCATTTGAGAACTTGAACCTCCAACAGCGCTGCCTGTGGCATCATCAATTACTTTTTGCTGAGGTGATTTTTTTCCCCTATGAGACAGAGCATATGTCAATTAAGGCCTTTTATATCGTTTATAGAAAGTACTTGTGTTGAGGGCGCCTGGGTGGCTCAGTTGGTTAAGCATCTGCCTTCGGCTCAGGTCATGATCCCAGGGTCCTGGGATTGAGCTCCGCGTCATCAGGCTCCCTGCTCAGCAGGGAGTCTGCGTCTCCCTCTCCCTCTGCCCCTCCCCCAGCTCCTGCTCTCTCACTCTCTCAAATAAATAAAATCTTAAAAAAAAAAAGAAAGTACTTGTGTTGAGAACAAAGCGTGTCTACTTCACTTATGGAAACTGTTTAAAGAAATACTGTAAAGAAAAACACACTCCTGGGTCTCCTTCACTCGCTACTCTGCAACACCACCACTTCACTTCTGACACCAAATGTGTGGGTTTTCCACACAGCGAGCAATTCTGTGCACTGGCTGAATGTCCTACAATTCATTCTGACTGACTGGAGGTCTCCATGACTCCTTGGTTTCCATTAATTTGCTAGAGGAGCTCACAGAACAGAATTCAGTTTTTCTAGATTACTGGTTTATTACAGAGGATATTCAAGGACATAAGTAACAGCCAGATGAAGAGATACATAGGGGTCAGTCCAGAAGGGTCCCGAGCACAAGAGCTTCTGTTCTCATGGAGTTTGGGGTGTGTCACCCTTTGACGTACGGATGCTTCTTGTTCATCATGGATGCTCTCTGAACCCCGTCCTTTGGGGTTTTACGGGGGCTTCATTACACAGCACAACTGGTTAAATCAATGGCTGTTTGTGATTGATTCAACCTCCAGCCCCTTTTCCCTCCCCGGAGGGAAGGGGCTGAAAATTGAAACCTCAAATCAAGATAGGTTCCCTAGACTGCCAGCCCCCATCCTTAGAACACCTGGGGCTTTTCAAAAGTTAACCTCATTAGCAAACTCAGGCATGCTTGAAAGGGACTTGTTATGAATAACAAAAGGCATTTATCATTCTGTGGCTTAGGAAATTACTAGGACTTTAGGAGCTCTGTGCCAGAAACTGGACAAAGACCAAATGTATATTTCTTACCATAAATTACTGATGGGATCAGAACACACTACCCTAAAACATGGCATCTTGGCATTGAAGATAAAGGAGTTTGAGAAGACAACAGAAACAAGAGGGTCACTCTTGGCCCTCCCCACCCCATTCTGCTCTAAACCAGGTCATAAAACCCTCAAGTGAGTGGGGGCCTCCCTATACCCAAAAGAAAGGAGTATCCTTATCTCTGAAGACAAAGGGAGAAGAATGTGAACAAACAGGTCTTGCTAACTCCTCGGTGCCCCTCGTTTAATACTCAGGTCTAATTTCTTTGGGTCTTCACTTCCTTCTGAGAGCTCCCGAATCACATATAGCTTACATTAAATACATTTGGCTATGCTTTCCTCCTGTTAATCTCTTTGTCAGTTTAATTTTCAGACCCAGCCAGGGACCCCAGAGGGTCGAGGAAAACTTTTTCCTCCCCAACATTACAATATCACAAATACAACCTGAAATAATAGTTTGGGATTTCCATTTAAGATTTCTTTTCAGGACACAAACTACATTTTGATTTTTTTTTTTTTTTGGCATGATTTTTTCATAATCTCTCTCTTTTTTTTTTTAAAGTAAGCTCTAGGCCCAACATGGGGCCTGAACTCTCGACCCTGAGATCAAGAGTCACATGCTCCACTGGCTAAGCCCAGCCAGGCACCCCTTTTTGCATGTTTTTAATGCCCATTAAATTAAATTTAATGGAGTTTGAAACTACCAACCAGGGGTGCCTGGATAGCTCAGTCAGTTAAGTGTCTGACTCTTGATCTCAGTTCAGGTCTTGATCTCAGCTCAGGGTTGTGAGTTCAAGCCATGCTTGGGCTCTATGCTGGGCATGGAGCCTACTTCAAACAAACAAACAAAAAACCTACTGATGAGGGAACAGAAGGCAAGCTGAGGACAAAGCAGAAGCCAACACCCCACAAGCCCCCCAAGATGGGATATATGTGACATTCCTCAGGCACTCCTGGATGCCCTAAAGCTAAGGAAAGGAAAAACAAATAGTTAACTTACAGAGAACACAATCCTGCAAAACATGACTCTCCCTCAGTTTACAAATGTCTTAGCAATTTGTAAGAACAAAGCATTTCTATCAATAACCTAGCTTCCAGAAGGAAATGTAGATACAATTAAATGTCCTTATAACCTGCAGCCCATTGACAGATACTTGAAGCGGGCAGAGTGTAATGTTCCTCCAGGAAGCTCCCAACTATCTTCATGTTAATAACTTGCTAGAAGGAAAACAACCTTGACAATGGCAAGGCCTCTGGTATCCTGGGAGTCTTCTTTAACATATGAAAATCCTTTTGAAAACCTCCCTCTTCCTTACCTCCCCCAACTCCCAAGTATATAATCAGCCATCCCTCATGACCCCGGTGCAGGAGCTTTTTCTGCCCATGGGTCCTGTCCCTGTGTTTTAATAAAACCACCATTTTGCACCAAAGACGTCTCAAGAATTCTTTCTTGGTTGTCGGCTCCGGACCTCATCTCACTGAACCTCACCTATATTCCAAAACCCCATCACTACCAACCGTAACTTTTATTTTCATTGGTTTTTGGTATAAAATACTATATAGGCAATATAGAGAATTACATTCTATCACAAAATGCAACTTTCTAAAGTAATGGTAAATGCTGGTAGAGAGAAAAGCTATACTAACGTGAGTGTCTAATGATTTAAAGATTATAAAGATGATAATGAGCCTTACCACCATCCAAGTTGCTCAGTGACTGGAAGCTATCCTCAACTCATGAAAATTCCTCCTCCTCCCCCACCGTCCACTACAATAGTCCTTGGTCACTAGGTCCTGCCACTTTCACTTCAAATATTCCTCTGGCCCAAATCCCCTACCCCCCAAATCAAGGCTGGCATTTTTTCCTTTCAGGGCCCTTGGTCTCTAAGCCAGAGTATATCCACAGACTCCTAACATGAGCTTTTGTTAAAGACATGTATGTCCCTCAAGAACCAATCCTCAAGAACCTGGATCAGAAAATCCAGAGATGGACCTGGATGTCTATATTCCTGAAAATCCAAGATGATTCTGATCAACCAGGTTTGGGAATCAAATGTATTAAGTGCTGATTTTTAATGGCACAAAAGGCCAATTGAGGGGTGCTTTAAATACTAAAAGCTACTTCCTTAGGGTATATTGCTAAGGACTCTTAATTGGCCAGTGGAGAAGGGAGGGAAGAAAGGTGTCTCAAGGCCGGGAGAAATCAGTTCTACAATTGATCTTCAAGATAATGACTGTCTGCAAGAAGAAGAGGTCAGACAAGTTTATAAGAAAATCTGAAATAAGCAAAAAAGGTTACTAGGTATCTCCAAAGTAAAAACTATGGATTGTGTAGAGCACAGTCTTGTGGGCTGCTTCTAACCTTTCATTCCCTTTGAGCTGTTTTACGACTCTATAAATTGTAGGTAATAGCAATGTAAAATAAGTCTTGCCCAAGACGTGCAAATAAATTGTCTGGTGGTAGTTCAATCAACTCCCTCAACCACACCCCATGGGAAAACCCAGTTTTGTATCCATTTGTAAATTCATTTCAACACTTCTTTACTTCATATAAACTGTACTTTGAACTGGTCATAGCATCTTCCTGGGGCCCTCACTTAATTAATGAGCTACATCAAATATTTCATGTGTTCATTTTCCATTTGTATGAGAGTCATGAGTTTACCACTGTTAAAAATTATCCTTTAACAGGTTCTATTAAGGAAGTTAATATTCAAGGGATCTAGAGGGAAAGGAGGCCAGCCAGTGAGTTCATCTAGCTTTTTCTTACTTATTTTTCTGGCTTTTCCACAAAAACCACAGCTTTTCTGTAAGGGAGAAAATGCAGTATCAGATACAACAGATATTCTGGTCTTCCTGTACCTCACGGTACACAAATTCTGACTCTGATGATAAACCAGCCTCTTATGAGTATGGTTAGGTTACATTTAAGGCTGACTCCGAGTACCACACAATTCCCATTTCTGAAACTCCAAACCTGAGGGCCAAATTCTGGAACATATGTTAGTAGCCTGCCTGCCTCTATTCAGTGACAATTCTATCTCAGTTCTCTAACTTTAACATGGGGGGAAAAATTCTAATGCTCTTGAAACATTCTGAGTTTATTTTCTGAAAGACCAAAAATGAAAAAGGAAAAGAATAAAGATGCTATTTAAAACAGATATAAAAGAAGGTTTCAAGGAATTTTCTACACAGAAGGAAGAATTAGGTTACACTAGAGGGTCATTTAAAAAGTGCATCCAGTTATCATGGGACCGTAGCACCAGTGAATCCCACTAAGGGTTTATCTATGTACTAATAGTGAAGTGACCTCCTCTTGTTACTATATTCACTGTTGTTGTTTTCTTTTCTTTCTTTCTTTCTTTTTTTTTTTTTAGAGAGAGAGAGGTAGTGGGGGTTGGAGCAGAGGGAGAGGGAGAGAGAATCTTAAACAGGCTCCACACCTAGCGTGGATCCCGATGCGGGGCTCCATCTCACAACTCTGAGATCATAACCTGAGCCGAAATCAAGAATTGGACACTGGGGCACCTGGGTGGCTCAGTCAGTTAAGTGTCTGCCTTCAGCTCAGGTCATGGTCCCAGGGTCCTGGGATCGAGCCCTGCACTGGGCTCCCTGCTCAACGGGGAGTCTGTTTCTCCCTCTCCCTCTGCCTCTCCACACCCCCCCAGCTTGTGTTCTCTCTCTCACTCACTCACTCTCTCTCAAATAAATAAAAATCTTAAAGAATTGGACACTTAACTGACTGAGCCACCCAGGCACCCCAATATTCGGCATTTTCTAAGGGAATGGCTCTACATTCTATTTGAGTAGCTAATGTTCTCTAAAGCAGTCCTCCCCTCTCTAAGCCTCACATACATCTTTAATTGAATGTATTATAATCCCACCTTTTGGAAAGCAAGAAACAGAGAACAGAGCGGCCTACAGTCCCAG